TAATGTGTGTATATTTATAAATTCAATTACACATTGGTGGCTACAAAGATTTTACTTGGGGACTGCAAAAACTGGGTTTGGCAACTTGTGTTTTCTCCTTTGTTTCTTATGTTCTGGTGCCTTAGAGAATATCTTGTGTGAAGGGAATGTTAAAGTTGAAGATGGCTCTAGTGAGATTAAGAATCAAATAGAAACATTTAAGCCTAAACTACAAAAACTATTTTGAAATCTAATTGAGCTACAGTAACTGTGTTTAATTTATGTCATCTCTGCTTATCGTTCACTTTCTTTTTGGTGAAGTTTTGAAGCTGGTTATAGTACCTACACAAGGTGTAGCCACATGTACATTCTACACTAGCATTTTATTTGTTTATCAGAACGTACAGTAGCTTTGAAATAAATGTCCAGCATGTATAAAGTATGCACATGAATGTGTGCCTCTCGGTATGCCAACTACGTCACTTATGCTAAAATCTTGATCTGTGTAGAATAACTTAGACACGCTGCAGATTAAAATTCTACAGTGAGTGCCTCAAGAATAAGCGATTGAGGTCCTTATGGCCCCTCTTTAGGTAGTAAATATTCAGTTGTCTGGGTGAATAAGTACTTGGCTGCTCTGTATATCCTGTAGCCTACACATCACAGTGATGAGTACAGGATGTTAAAATCAGTTGACTGTATAACATAGCCCCACTGCGTTGCAGTGGTATAGTAATTTAGTTTATTTTAACAGGATTATATTTCTGTAATGAGGTTCACTCGTCCTTCTCAAGTTATCAACAATAACACCAGTTCTTTAACCAGTACTTTAATATGTTGGATGCTAGATAAATATTTTAACATAAGACATGTTGTTCTCTCTTCATCATAATTATACCTGCAAATATTGCATTTTGAAGTTGGCTTGTTGACCTTGTTCATTTCCACAGCATGGTTAAAGTGGGTAGTAATATGATTGCAGTGCATTCATTTTTAATGTTATATCAACTGGACAATAGCATTTAAACCGGGCCATAAAAAAACAAATGTCACTTTCAGCGCTAGCCAATATGGATTCAATGATGAGCATTTAGGCTTGTTGCAAACAAGATCACCCAGCTTCACATATCAAATGTCCTTATTTTCACATCATATCTCTAAGACCCACCTTCTTATATGCTTGACAGACATTCTACTCTCAGAATATAAATGACAAATTATGTAGTTGGTTTGAGGCTATTTTATTGCTTAAGCACGCTGCCTGTCTTCAGGCATGTTGCTTTAACTGGTGCAAAGCACAAACCATCTCTGTCTCCAACATAAGAAATTTTAAATTACATCAATTTATACAAAATAGAAAATGCAAGGTCTTACTGTCATTGTGTTTTAATGATTTAATCTGCAAAGTAACCAAACATCTTTTAGACTTGTTTATTTATTGATCTAATGAGAGAAGGTTCATTAAGATAGATTATTATAGGGCTAGTAAGCACTGCCCTGAATGATAGTCTAATAAAGATGCAGCCTTAGTACAAATGAACTTCAACAGATATACAGTATGGATCTGTTTTCACAGGATATTGTTGTCTCATGATCTTCTGAGATGGACATAGAAATGTAATAAATAGATGTATCATTTGAAAGACAGATATAGAACCAAATGTTCACAGTTTGCCATGCACTGGAACATTTATATTACAATTAAAAAGCTTAAATATATTTTATAATTATATTAATATATTACATTTACAATATATATTTTACATTAGTAAAACAATTAGGTGTTCTAGCCATTTTAGCAAAATGCCATGCAGTAAAATACGCTTATTAACAATCTACGGCCATGCCAGCTGCCAGGCTGTAGCTAGGCACAGTAGCACTTTGAGCTAAAATCTGCAGTGCTAACTTTGTATGCTAACTTTGTGATATTTAATAACTTATTTTACTGTGTCGAAGTGCAGTAATGGCATGGTGTAGCTTTTAAGCCTAAGCACAAACCTATACACTGCAGGCTATGTCAAAGGTAATGTGTGTATATTTATAAATTCAATTACACATTGGTGGCTACAAAGATTTTACTTGGGGACTGCAAAAACTGGGTTTGGCTACTTGTGTGAAGGGAATGTTAAAGTTGAAGATGGCTCTAGTGAGATTAAGAATCAAATAGAAACATTTAAGCCTAAACTACAAAAACTATTTTGAAATTGAGCTACAGTAACTGTGTTTAATTTATCTCATCTCTGCTTATCGTTCACTTTCTTTTTGGTGAAGTTTTGAAGCTGGTTATAGTACCTACACAAGGTGTAGCCACATGTACATTCTACACTAGCATTTTATTTGTTTATCAGAACGTACAGTAGCTTTGAAATAAATGTCCAGCATGTATAAAGTATGCACATGACTGTGTGCCTCTCGGTATGCCAACTACGTCACTTATGCTAAAATCTTGATCTGTGTAGAATAACTTAGACACGCTGCAGATTAAAATTCTACAGTGAGTGCCTCAAGAATAAGCGATTGAGGTCCTTATGGCCCCTCTTTAGGTAGTAAATATTCAGTTGTCTGGGTGAATAAGTACTTGGCTGCTCTGTATATCCTGTAGCCTACACATCACAGTGATGAGTACAGGATGTTAAAATCAGTTGACTGTATAACATAGCCCCACTGCGTTGCAGTGGTATAGTAATTTAGTTTATTTTAACAGGATTATATTTCTGTAATGAGGTTTTTGCATAAAGCACAACTTTTTTTTTTTTATAGAAGGCCCACTTGGTCCATAAATAAAATTGGAAGTACCAAATGGAAAATCTTACTGTAATAAGATAAGATTCTTGATTTCAAAACGTACAGTATTTATTACACCCTCATTCTGTTGCAAGACTCTAATGGGCCATTTAACAGAGAGCTCTCAGAAGTCAATCGTCAATCTGTCAGGTTAGCTGTCTTAAGATAACACATTCTGTTTTTCTTACTTTTCCAGAACATTCGTTAAAATGATTTCCTCATGTACATATGTGCATCTCTTTGCATCTGCTCCAACACAGACTGCCATGAAAGTTTTTACAGACATTCATGAAGCCTACTACTGAAACTTTGTTGATCCCTTGACTTTCCTCTAGTGCCACTAAACTTTGCACCCACATTTAGAATGAATCTAAACACTGAAGAAGACATAAGCTTCACCTAGTGCGATAATCAGGACATTCTTAATTTGCCCAGTACATTTAGATCATTTAGATTTAGAACTTTTTACTAAATCTACTGTCAGAAACCTGGGTGTTACTATGGACTATGACTTAAAGTTGGAAAAACAGGATAATTCTGTTATTCAACTTAGAATTCTATTGAAGATTAAACAGTTTGTGAGCTTTAATCTCTTTTTAAAAACTCATAAATTCTTTTATTTCTGGTTGTATTGACTATTATAACTCCCTTTTTGTGGGTATGAACCTAAGATCACCTGCAAGCAGTCCAAAATGCTGCAGCCTGTTTGCTGACAGGTATTTCCAAACAAGCATATTACACCTATTCTTGCTTCACTCCACTGGCTCCTGGTACGGCTCCGGATTCATTTTAAAATACTTCTTCTGACCTATAGAGCCTCAAATGGTTCTGCTCCCTCTTATATCCTTGATCATTTACATCTTCATGTTCCCACTAGAATGCTTATAGGTCTAGGGACTAGATGCTTCTAGCGGTCCCGAAGGTCCAACTAAAGTCTAGGGATGAGCATGCCTTTTCTCTTGTGGCCCCATTTTATGGAATAACCTTCATCTGCATATTTGGATGGCATCAACTCTGTCTTTAAATGTCAGCATAAAACATTTTTATTTCCTTGCTTTTAATCAATGTTAAGTTTTTAGTCTGGTTCAAACTACTTAAGTTTTATGGTCTGCGTCTTAAAATGCCGTTTATGATTTATGGTGATGTGTCTTTTTATCTTCTGTCCTTTTTGTAAAGCACTTTGGCCAACTTCTTGTTGATGTTAAATGTGCTATATAAATAAACTTGACTTGTTTAGTGCTAAATAGTGAATGTTAGAATGCTAATAAACTAAACTAAAATGGGGAACATTACACCTGCTAAACATCAGCATGTTAATGTTGTGAGCATGTTTGTGTACTGATATTATCATTCAGCCTCACAGATCCGGTCTAGCCTAGATGTAGACTCTTTGTCTTGTTTTCATTTGGGTAACCCATTGGAGCGCAGATGAGTCATGCTGCATAAAAGAAATGAATACATATAAAGTCCATCAGCTGTGTTTGAATGCTGCTGCTGCAGAGGAGGGAGAATGTCCATTATGTGAAATGACCAGATAAACCCATAGGTATGCCCCTATCATCATGCCTCCTGCATAAAAGCTGTAAAGAGTGGTGTTTTCTAAGTATCCCCTTTAAACTATACTCTATTGCCCTCATTTTCATGGTGTAATTGAATTTCTTTTATCACCTCTTGCTTGAAAGCAGCACCTGGTAGCACTTAGAACTGAATGTAGATGAGGGATGAACAATATCTCATGATGATGTGACTTGTGCTGATAAAATATTGCAACAATATGTTATCATGGAGATGGCATTTGTAAAACAACACAGTTGTGGGAAGGCATTATGGAACAGAGAAGATATAAAAAGACAGCTCATACGTTTGTCTCATCAAGTTGTTTTCTCTCTCACCTACACACAGCTTTGTACAGCTGTGAGGACATTCACTAACATAATGCCTTCCCTAGCCCTAATACCTAACCATCACAACTAAACATCTTACCCCAAACTAAATCTAACCTAAACCTAAAACCAAGTCCTAGCACTCATTTATGTGGCCTGGCCACATAAGCCTTAGTGAAGATTAACATTAACAAACCTAACTGTAAAAACAGGTCAAATCAGTGGATAACAACAAGATCTGGGCATCATTGTTAGTGCTCTGCACATTAGCGTGGAAATATCGGAAATATTATGTGCATGTCAAAGTATTTTGGATTTGTCTTTTTATGTGCATTTCTCTTTGATATTTTACAGAAAGAAGTGTTGCAAGGGCTTCAAGTTTGTCTTGGGCCAGTGCATTCCTGAAGGTAGGGAGAGGATGTCTGTCTTATGTGCATCATGTCTCATAATGTATTTAGTCCTTTAATGTACTTCCTCCTGGTTTAGCCTCTCTAAATGTTTAATGAGCTATGACAGGCCTGTTGCCTGAAGTTTTAAATGGAATAAACTTGTTTGTGTATGAACTGAGAGGCTGCACTTCTTGTGTACTCATTAATGACGTGCCTCGTTTGTCGCTGTAGACTACGACGTGTGTGCTGGCGCCCCCTGTGAGCAGCAGTGTACTGACCATTTTGGCAGAGTGGTCTGCACCTGTTACCCCGGCTACCGCTATGACCGGGAGCGCCACAGAAACCGAGAGAAGCCCTACTGTCTGGGTGAGACCTTTTACAACATTTGTACCAAATGCTTCGGCCAAATGCTGCAGTTAATCTTCATTCACTTTACAATCTATAATGGTGGTAACAGTCTAATAATTTCACATTTCAGTTTTAAATATTTTTTCTGTGCTTTTATATGTTACTTTATATGTGTTAATGGCCTTGTAACTTCTTTTAACTTACACTTCTTTCTTTAATTTGCTTGCTCTCTCCCCTCTGTCTCTGCCTGTCACTGCGACGTATAGACATTGATGAATGTGCAGAAAAAAACATGACTGTTTGCTCTCAGATCTGCATCAATTCTGTGGGGAGTTATAGGTGTGAGTGTGAAAAAGGCTATTTTCTGGAAGAAGACGGAAAGACATGCACCAAGGGGGAGAGAGGTGAGAATAGCATTATTTGTCAGACATTTTCTCTTTGTTCAAGGGAACATCTGACTGTGATGTGGAGCTGACCACACAGTGTTAGTTTAGGTGTGTGTGTGTGTGTGTGTGTGTGTGTGAAGGAGACAGAATAGGGGCTACTGCAAACAACACATGGTAGTCATTACACATCACAGTTCATTGTGCATGTCAGAATAGTCCTGTCTCCCAAACATCCCACTGCCCCTGTGACACCTGGTCTTTTTTGATTTGCTGGGTGCATTTGAAGAAAACATCACAAATGGTCGCGACAATAATAAAGTCTTTTTTTCCCCCCAGATTAAGTTACCAATGAAGCAGTCAGAGAAAGAGGCAGATTTGCTACTTCCTCCCATGGGTTTATCTTAAATAACTACTAGAAGATTTCAGGAGAAGCTGGAGAGTGAGAAATTGTTGTTTATATAGTCATGATCCTGCTTTATGCAGTTAGGAGAATAGTGCCCTGGCTCATCCATTAAATGTGTGCATGTAGGGAGTAGGACCCATTTTACTGGAGGCCAAAGACAAATTCATAAATGTGCTTTTCACTTAGTTTTTGTTCTTTACAGGACTGTGCAATTGTATTGCTTAAATTTTAATGTTTTAATGCTGCAAGTGAATAAAGTGTTAGAGTAAATGGGTTAATTGTCATAACAAGGTTGGTCATAAAATAAAAGTGTCCTCAGTGGCCCATTGTTTTCTTAAAAATGTTCTAATATGCAAATATATTATCACATTGAATTGTTTTACCTCCAGTAGAGCCAGGAGTTACACAATAGTTCTGCACTAGTCTTCCCTGACACATTTGATAGACCATCTTCTTGGTCTAAATCAAGGAGGTTACGTGACTCACAGCACCTGCAAATGACAATGTAGCAGAACTCACTCATCTCCCAAATGGATAGTTAGTTCACAAATTTAGCAAAAGTCTATCAAACTGTCACCAGAATAGCACAGTGTAACTCAGGAACATTAAACAGCTTTAGACATTAAGGGGACATTATGTCTGGAAGAAAATTCTAGTGACATAAACCTTTGCTCCAATTCCCAGCAGTGCATCTCTTTGAGAAATCTGATAACGTAATGAATGCTGGAACTTGTTCAGCCACCTGTGACGATTTCCACCAGATCAAGATGTCTGTCCTGCAGCTAAAACAAAAGGTAAAGATCACAAAACCACAAAAAGCATACACATTCTGTCTAAATATATAACTGAATCCATGTAGTTTTTCCTGTAAAACTACACATTTCGTTATGTTAAATCCTAATCATGCATCCTGCGGCTTTTTCTAGTATTCTGTGCAGAAAGGCTACAGCGAGCATTAAACATGCAACAATTGTTAACAGCATGCAGATTTTTACAAGTGTCTTCAGATGCATTATAGTATTTATGTCCTAATTTCCCAATTTAAAGAAATGTTGAAAAAAAAATTCCCTTTACTGCAGGTAGTTGATTGTAAGTGAGAAAGTAGTGGTTTAACTTTTCCCTCTATGTAATCACAGGCATCAGTCTGAACATATCTGGACACAAGTCTATCAGCACTGGTACTCAACACCCACGACTGTAACACATGATTTATTGCTTCCAGCTGTGTGGTCTAGGTGCTGAGTATATTCTCATTTATTCATATCACAGGAAGGTTTGAGTGGGAATTTAGGATCACACTGCTGTTCAGACGCTTGCGTCCAAGGTCACTAGCTACAGGCACAGACTCAGTGTGTGTGTGTGTGTGTGTGTGTGTGTGTGCATACGTTTCTAGAGTACATTTGTGCGCTTTAATTCTGATTTGCAGTCCCTTGCAGCAGAGCAAGGTATTTCCTCTGGGACTGCCAGAACCACATGATGGTATACAGAGATGAAAGATAACTTTTCCTAAGGATACCATACAGAGCAGGAACTCCCCTGGTCATGCTGAATAATGCAGAGGGGTTGCCTGGCCCTACATCTGCCTGGGTTACAGCTTGTAGCATGGTGCAGATGGAAGATCAGCTTTCATCTTTGGCAGGGTATATAATTTTAACATAATTTTACTTGAAATCAGCCCTTCAGCGTGTAATTTCTCAGACTTGTTTGACAGTCCAGAGCTTTATGAATAACTGTATGTAAAGCCACTTAGGAATGACAACCAAATGATGAAATTGTGCAGTTACACACTGGGATGATATGGTTTCCAAAGGAAGAAAAAACATATTTATCCCATGAGAGGATATATATTCTGTTGGCTGTGTTCCTCAATTAGTATATCACACACGCAGTTATTTGTAATGCCTTGCCATTCAGTCCTTATTTTCTGTTCTTATTTAAGATGGCCATGTTGTCAAACAGTGCTGATGTTCCTGAACAGATGACCAATGAGAAAATCCTGACATCACCCATATTTTTACCAGGGCCTCCAGGGCTCCCTGGTCCTCCAGGTAAAACATGTAAAGTTAGAAATAATAAACCAGTGTCACACTATCTAAGTAAACTGGCCTGCATTCAGCGAGAACAGTGTAATGCAACACTAAGGGGGATATTTTACTAAGGTGTTGTGGCAATTTATTTGGCATTAAACAGTGAAATTGTGTAAGGAGTCACAGTGGGGATTTGCACTAGAGAAAAAAACAAAAAAGTGGCACCTACAGGAATTTGCACGCTTGGTCTCTTGCAATATGTATTTTGAGGTGTTCCCATTTAGGGATGCAAAAATAAGGAAGGACAGTTGGGAAATTTATACAAATATTCACAGAGCCTGCTTTACCACTGTGGCAGAGGGAATTGCGGCTGAAATAGGAGAAAGCAGGTGTAAAATTTGTGGCACTGCTTTCAGCGTGCCAGCTGTTAGTTAAGCGAGACCTCGCTGGACTTATGAACATGTTTGAGGAGGGAGAGGGTGTTTGCAAATTGCATCACTCGTCAAACACCAATGTCAGGGACTTTTACAGGATTTCAGGTCAAATCATGCTTCAATTACTGAACAAAAAAAAGCCAATGTGACTGGCAGGAGGCTACGTGATTGAAGTTCCGAAGTATGTTTGCTGATTTCTTCAACCGTATTAAAGTTCAGTTTCTGTAAACTTAGACTTTCTTCGTAGCTCCCTCAGGGTCAACATGTGTGCAATCGCATGAAATGCTAAGTAGAGGTGTAGGCTATTTCACAGTAATTTGTGACAGGTTCAGAAGATATCCCCAAAGAGTCTACAGCCATGCTGGCAGCCCTGTTTGACTACCTAGGCACTGCAGCGCTTTAAGTTGGGCGCTAATATCGACATGATAACACAGTAACAATGCTAACATACTGATGTTTATCAGACAAACGTTTACCTTGTCTACCATCTTAGTATTGCGTTAGCATGTGTAAAAAGTGGCACTAAACACAAAACACAGCTAAAGCCGATCAGATTGTCAGTTGTTTTACAGGTATTTGGTCATAAACAGTACTGGACAAATTAACATTTGGCACTAGATGAAAAGTTCATCATAAAAAGCACATGAATACATGAGCGCCAAATGTGGCAAGGTTAAGATAATTTAGTCACGACCAAAATGATGGACTTACCATCTCTTCCACTAGCCTGTATTTAATCCTTTTTTTTTACAAAAACCATGATATGTTCTCTGTGTTGTTTTACTTGAGTCAACTAACACCAGTCTGGATTTTATTAGGAGATCCAGGAACAAAGGGCCCTCCAGGACTTACAGGAATGGTGGGTCCACCTGGCCATCCTGGACCCAGGGGTTTGATGGGACCCATCGGTCCCACACCAGATCTGTACCACATCAAACGGGGCCCCCGAGGACCAGTGGTCAGTATATACCTTTTCTACTCAGTTTTTCTGAATGTGTTTTAATCAAATATACGATTTGCCAATAAAAACTCCTGCCACACAATTTTCATGTCAGATAAGAGATGCTGAGGTTTGCTCAGCATCTTATATGGAATTTAATTTGTTACATGCATAATATTTTACAGCAGACACTTCTGAATCAGCAACTATGAAAGTGTGTGCCCTGACTGTGACCTTTCCTGAGTAATTCTTGGATGCATGTACCACTCCATTCATCGCTGTCTTTATTTTCTCTTGGATGGTTCCACAAGTCTGCTTTATGTTACAAAACGACTCTAGATAACCGCACTGAAAGTAGTAAAACTTGTAACAGCTCTTTTCAGTGCTTTGTAACGACTATGTTCCAAATGTTGTCAGGTTCTAGGTCTTTACCAGATAATGTATTAATCCTGCATTGGGAGACTGACCCTGGGAGAGTTGCGACTGATTTATCTTTATAAAGAAACCAAATATCTAAACATCCTTTCATACACCCTCATCTTTGCAGGGTAAAGAATGATGATATGTGGTAATGGTAATAACAACAGAGAGGATTGAATCCATTTACAGTTTAGATGTTTTCTTTGGCTCACTGTGTTTTAATGCAGTACTCAGTCTTGCCTGCTAGTGTGAACCTGCATCAAAGTGTGGGATCTGAATCAAGAATGTGCAGGATGTGGCCACTGAGACATATTTCTAGTTTTTAAAGCTCTTGTATTTATGCGGTCCCATAATTGATAAATCAGACTATCAGCACCTGCAATCAGTCGTATCATGGGCTGCATGATGCCAAACCAGGAATCTGGAACCTTGTTTTTACAGTAGACAGTGATCTATTGCTTTGTATGTGTGTTTGACATTTAGTTGTGTATTTTAATTCTCAACACTTCATATACTTGACCTCTTAATACATTTAATCAACATACATGCTGACTACAAAGTCTGACTCAGAGGGAATTACCTTCTCTTCATACAAGATGACATTTTGATGGCGAGGTCACATGTCTACGTAGGTTTTACAGATAATGAATATGAGATAGTGTGTGACTCACATGCATGGTACTGAGCAAAATATTGGCCTTACTCCTTACACAACATCTTCAGTGAAGAGAGTGAAACATGAAGACTCTTCACGCTTTTAAAATGATGATTATCCCAGAAAAGAGATCAAAGCACAGCTGAAGTCATTCAGAAATGGCCTGGAAGCAGGCAGAAAGTTCGTCATGGCTCATCTCTGCTGATGGACCATGAGGAACATGTCAGTTTTGTATGTAAACAGATCTGAATAAATGCATTTTCTGAGAAAATAATGAATTGAACATTAACTCATTTCCATTCAGCTGGCAAGGCAGGTAAACATCATAAGGTTGAGTGGCTATCACCCATTGACCGCATATAAAAGATGCACAAACCCTCTATGACGTCACCCATTGGTTTTCTGTAGAGCAGTTTTGAAGCAAAAATCTGGCTGTCGTCATTTTGGTGGTGCTTCACCCTTCCTAACCCTGTCTAATCCAAAAATGGTGTGGAGCGTGAGTGGAGCTTACTAGAGAGCTAGTGGTGGGACCCTCCAGCTTGTCACTCGAAGCGGCCAGCCACACCGTTAATTATTGTAACTTTTAGCCTCAATATTATTTAAACAGGTGAGTTATATAAAATCTCCCCCATGTACAGTTGTCATGGAAGGGGAAATTAGCTATAGAGACCAAAACTGTTTCTTTTTTGTGCCAGGCTGTAAACAAATGTATTTATTCTGTAAAGGTGGGCATTTTAACATGGGAGTTTATGGGGACTGATTCCTTTTTGGAGAAAGCTTCAAGTGGCTATTTGAGGAACTGTAGGTTTTAACACTTCTGCGTTGGCACAGTGGTTGCTGTTTGTTGTCAGCAGGCTAACAAACAGATCAGATAATCACATGCTTATTTACATCAATGAGTGGCTTTGGAGTGTTAAAGGAAAATGTCATAAATATGTAAATATGATTGAAACAGAAATGACCTCATTTTTATTTAACAGGGACCACCAGGAGCACCAGGAAAGGATGGCCTAAAGGTGAAGTCACATGCTATTTTGTCACCTAAGCTTGTCCTATTTGTTTATTTATTTTAAGACATAACTTTTCTGGAAAAGGCAACTATTCTATGCAAGTCTCTTTTTTCTTTCTGGTTAAACTGAGATTTTATATTAACATTTTTTACATTCTTTTTTGGATTTAAACCAGATTTAACCGCACATTCTCTCAGGTTTTTGTGATATTCATGTGCAAAAAAGTAGAACACAGCTAAGGTCAGGAAGATACAGTGGCATCTTTGCTGTTTGACGACAACATCATTTGGGACTTCACACTTCTGCAGTGTGCTTTGGAGTAGCTGCAGCTCAGTTTGACTTTGACTATTAATGAGGAAACAGTTAAATGTGTCTAGTACAAAGATTAGCCATAAAACAAAGGTTGTTTTGCAAAAAAAGGTTAACTTCCTGCTAGTATTTGATTTGACCCTCACCTGTGATTTGTATGGCTGGATAGCTTGTGAGAGTTGTACTAATCAGAAGATGAAGCTCTGTGATCCAGCAGGATGTCAGAATCAATTTAGACTGAAAGCAGCTAGTTGAGGCACCTTTTTTTTTTTTTTGGAGGACTACTGTATTCTTTCTAAACTTTTCATCAAGAATGACTAGTCATCCATGCCACACTGACTAAGAGGTTAAGGCTATAAAAGCTGGAAAGGTTATGGTCTTGTGCTGGCTTTTGAATCTTGTTATACCCACAACACTGTTTGCTTTTGGATCACGCATGGAACGACTTAGGTACATCTGCCTTACTGACACAGTACCTCAGCATTCTTTCAGTACAGCTGGGAGGTTTGTGTGGATAGATTGGAGGGAGATGGTAATCTGTCTCACCGAGTTACAAATCCAAACCATCTGCCAAAACATTCACAGCCCCATTGTGACCCTGAGCCTGGCTAACAACCACAGTAGTCAGGTCAGTGCATACGCTACCATAAGTCAACAGGCTGCCATGATACTTAACAGTCTAGATACATTTACAGTATGTTTTATATTATACAAACATATGGTACTTTTTATCCTTCCCATACACAGGACACAGGTTCTTAAATGAATAGTCACTTTCTGGCTTAAAGTTATAAGAGAAGATTGACACCACTTTTATGTCTGTGCATTAACTTCTGTATAAAGATAGAGCAGTGTGGCTTAGCATAGGGAGAAATAGCTAGCTGGCTCTCTCCAAAGTTCAAAAACAAATCTACCACATCTATTGATATGCATATGATCACTGCAAAAAAGCAAGTAAGACAATTGCCCAAAATGTCACTATATTCCTTTAACTGGCTAAGGCAACAATACAAAATCTAATCTGACTTTAATCTTCTGCACTACATGTTTCATTGAAATTATAAGTTTGTTTGTTCATTTTCCCCTTCTTAGTCCATGAGGTATTTGTACTTACTCTCATCCTGATCCCAGTTTTCTCTCCTCTCCTTTAACTCTGAGTATTAAAAATTCTTCTCATGCTTTTTTCACTGTAACTATTCTAAGATAAATATTTGTTTTGATTCCCCAGGGGGACAGAGGAGCTCCTGGGCCTGCTGGACCACCAGTAAGATTCTGTTTTTTCTATAATGATGCCACACTACTGTAACTTGTTATGGTTATCCAGAACAGTATAGCTAAACTAAAGCCTAATGGGAAAACAGACCACTGCAGATTCTAGACATTGAACGGCACCATTAATGATACTGTCAAACTCAAAGTAAATAGCATCTGCTATTAATGGTAGGTGAGAGAAAGCCCAGTAGCCACTGGTGAGTCTTAGATCAGCTGGATTTCTGTTCTGAAAAAGAGGGGTAACCTTAATTGAATTTTGATGAATAATTAATGTTTAAAAATGTTTTCTTAGTTATTTCTTTTTGTTGTACTTGACCCCCAGGGCCCTCCAGGCTCTTTTGATTTCCTGCTTCTGCTGATGGCAGACATCCGTAACGACATCTCCGACCTGCAAAGCAAGGTGTATGGTCGACCGATGCACACTCCAGTAGAGGACTTTCTTGTGGTCCCCGACAGCTGGAGGGACAACCGTGACAGTCTGGACACAGGCTCAGGTGAGGACTACAAGGAACCTCCACCTCCACCTCAAACTAGCGGGGGGTCCAAGAGGAACAAGAAGCGAAAACCAGCACAAGACAGAACAGACTTTGATTGGAATATTTAAAGAGGGTGGATTTAAACACTTTATGACAGGTGTAAATATTGAAATGGATTGTTTTTTTTATTTAACTTTTTTAAACTGAATGTACTGTATGCCTTTTAATCACAGAAGTTTATTTTTGTATGATATAGAAGATTATGTGAGTATTTTTTAACAAAATGAGTAGACATGCAAATGCATGTTTTGTTTTGCTTTTTTTTTACATTTTATATTTTCAGAGACATATGGCTCCTTCACAGCACATTAAACTAGTTTCCCATGAAAGCAGTTTTTCCTCATTATTATATGAAAATATATTGTATCAGAAAGAAAAACACTGTACTTAAATTAACAGGAGGGATTAAATTAGCATGAATGCTGGACTGGAGCATTAGGAATTTTCACTGTGCTTCTAATGCTTTTTTAATGTTATCACATTGCATTGTTCTGTTTTCATGGAAAAAAAAAAAGAAAACATAATAAAGGGGAAACTAATACGTGCATTTCTCTTTTTCTTTTTGTAATTACTAATGTAGTCATACTCATCTGTAGCACTGCAACTATTATTAAGTCAGTGAACCATGTGGTTTATGAAATGTCAGAAATTTGTGAAGAAAAGGCACAATGCCAATCAGTTTAGCAGAATATATATTTACTGTCCTATATTACATGTAACTATGTAACATTCTCACTCGTTCATTTTGCCTGAAAAATTGTTGCTCATTATTTCTCTGCTGATCAACTAATCAATTTCTTTGAGGGGTTAATTGAAGGCTAAAATACTCACTGTCATATGAACCACACAAACCAACACAGAATGGTCACTTAGCTTTACTAGCCTGATAATGCTTTTAATTATTTTTCATTCCTATCTAAACTGAGACAGACATATGCAAACTAATTTTAACTTCTGGGAAAAACAAATTTTGGCCATCTCCTTTGCAGCAAGCAGGCGGCTGTTGGATGGTAGAGTGGGTAATACTGTAGTTTGATTCTGTTCTCCACCAGAGGGCGACATCCTCAAAGGCAAAGAGTCCAAAGTACTGATGTTTTTTAGAATTCTGCATAACTTCATGTCAAATGTATCACTTATGACTGTATACCATGTCACAAAATGCTTAATTAATCTGGTATATTAGCTTTTCAGTGGTCACTCTTCTGATTAGCAGAAAACAGCAGCATACTGAAAACTAGACAGGACTCAGAGAGCCCACACCAAGGCAGCTCCACTTCCCCATAAAAACATTTATGGATCTGGATGATTATCTGGATCAGCACCATGATGTAATGGATTGTTCTGTGGGCCATACCTTACCTCTCCTTGACATTTCATCAAAATTCCTTCATATCTTTTTTGAGTTATGCTACAAACAAACCAACAAACAGTGGCAAAAGCATGACTTCCTTGGTGGAGGTATCAATGGAGGTACAACAACAAATGTAAGGACTGGGATATTAGTGGATTCTCTAGCTAAAATTAATATGGGTTTGACTTAGTAAGTACAATTCAGAGTCATAAAACTCAAAATTAAAAAACATGTGTTCTTCAAAGCTAAAGATTCACCCATTCCCTCACAACATTTACAGAAGAGTTTATGTTATGATTTACTTACTAGAAAAATTCAAAGTCCCAAGCTTAACAACTCAATCTGATCTATCAGCACTGTTATCTAATTGTTCTTCATCAGTCACTTCAGAATAAAGTGGCTTAAAACATCTAAGTGGGCAAACTAACTTTATTTTACAAATTATTTGTCTAATAATTATGTATGTTGTAATAGCAGTAGGCTAGTATATGAGAATTATTATATAGGAAAACATAGCTCAAGAATTATTTTAAACTAGTTTATGTTTTTGCATGCACCCCAGTTGTTTTTGTCAGAGTCCTCTGTGGTCAGAGTGCTAAGTCTACCAAAACCTGTCCTTCTTCAAGGTTTTGGAAAACTGAAAACGAGTGGCAAGTTGGTCCATACTGGACTGTATAACCTAGGCTACAACTGAGCCCTGCTAGTGATGCAGATCACCGTTATGTCCACTAGGTGGCAGCCATTTCTCAGTCATCTACTGTCCTGTAAGTACTGTGTGATGACCAGCCTTGAATGAGACACAGCACTCTGTTCAATGAACTCATCACACTTTGCAGTCTAATTTACAGAGAGGCACATGAAGATAATCACAACACAATCATAAATAAAGCTTTATGGATGCACGAGTAATGTTTATTTTCTTGTTTATATATGGACTTAATTACTTTAGACCTTAATATTTAACATCTTTCCTCTTGGAGGCTGGGCTGCGTCTCTGACAGAATAATTATTTTAACCATTTTGTTTGGTAATTGTCATCAACTTTTTACACATTTTTGGAATTTAATAACAATGAAATCATATCTAACAGTCTTTGTTTATGGCATCCAAAACAAAAACAGATTTGTTCATTTTTGTCAGATGCCACCTTCATTAAACCCGGCATTACTGTTTACATGTTGTGTAGCTGTGTCACAATGAGTCCGTTTTCAGTAAACGTTGTGATTTGCATTTGATTAAAGAACGCTGAAATTAAGGTCCTGTGCACATCTTTTAACAAGGTCATCACATCTAAAGAAAAACAGAAAAACTATATTTCTCCAAACTCCCATCTGGAAGTAATTAATCACCATCACGCAAGGGCCAGCCTTAACAGATTGCAAATATTTGCTGAAGTGTCCCCTTGTTCCTAATTATATCTCCCTGCTTGTCCCCCTCATTATTTAGACCTTCCCACAAAACGATGCAACACTGAATGGGAACTGTCACAGACCCGGCCCCTTTCCAAAGAAAATGTTTAATAGCAAATGAATGAGTGATTCACTGTGCTGCAATAAAGATCTTAATGAGGTAATTTTATTAGTACCGACTGCCCAGAACTGTTGGAAACAGATGGAGGAAACAGAGAAAGGCAGCATAGAGAAAATTAGTGTTACACAATTCATTAATTAATGCATTAGTGTGGGCAGCAAATTAACTGCCCCAAAAATCTCCATTCACGAAAGATTATAATGAAAAAATACATTGCTGCCCCCCAGAATAATTACAAGACAGTGCAAATTCAGTTCTAATGAAGTGAAAGGCACCCCCTTAACATACATCCCTTATTTCCCCCTCTAAAGGGGCCTTGTTGAGGCCTACATTTAGGAAGTATTGAGAGTGAAGGAGACAATAATGAGCGATTGGCCTGGCCTTAAGTGCCTTATATGCTGCAAACAGGTAGAGAGGATTGAATGGCTCTCTTTCTGGGACTCCTGGGGGGCCTGTCTTCCCAGCACAACAACACTTGGCCCTGAGAAAAGGGTCCGCTGAGGAGCCTAGAGAGTGAATGGAACTGTGGTGCAGTGGGTCAGACTGAATGGCCACAAGTCCTTCAGTGATTACAAACTATGTTGTGCCAGCCCGGGCTCCATACACATACACAAACACAAGCACAAGTGTGGACACACACAGAAACACATGAAGCGAGCCCTCACCCTTCCACATCTCTCTCTCATTGAGTTATCTTTACTCAGGCTTTGTCTCCTCTAATTGGAGCTGATGAGGGACTAATTGGTAGCTTTTTTACAACACCCAGTACTTAAGCAATGGCAAGCCGAGGGAGGCAGCATGAGTGGAGTTAATGAGAGGCTTTGCACAAATAAAAGCTTTAAAATGGGCCTGTTTCACAGAATGAGAGAAAAGGAAAGTTGAGGATATCTTTTGTGTTCTCCACATCTTTCACTTATGTGCAGGTATCTGAAAAGAAGAGGGAGTGGTGGAGGGCACACAGTGGTTGCTGAGACGTTGAGTACTTGTGAGCATAAAGGGATCTGTTCTGTATTGTTTGAGGCTCGTCGTTTAGTGTGTCTCTTAATAATGAGAAAGGGCTGCTCCTCAAATGAATGTGGCAAAGTCCTTAGTGGACAATAAGTGCCCTCTCTTCCCTGGACCACACTGGGCTGTGTTGAAACAATCTGAAATAAGGTTTAGCCCCTCTGCACTGTGGAGGGTGAGTATGTGGCCTTTGTGCATAGTTTTGGGCCAATAAATAATACAGCAGCTAAGCCAGCCCATACTTTACTGAAAGCTTCAAAATCCTATGTAGATAATGGTTTCAAATGGTCATGAATCAATTACAAAAACTGGTCATGATAAATGGGGCTTATATGTGTCTTGCTGGGCGCATTGCAATCATGTGTGACATTACAGATGTACTGTAGGAAAATCAACATTAGATGGTAATTTAGACTTAAAAATCATGTTCTCTGCTCCTCTTAAGGGAGTTGCATCATGGTGGTAAACTGAAGAGTACAATGGGTTCAACCATGTGACATTTCCTTAGCATGCTGTCATCACAGCAGACATTTTGTTCATGTGATAATGGGTTGCTTTGTGCTTTTCAGGTATAAATAAACACCTTAAAGAAACAGGCTTCATTTAACTAAGCCGCGGTGTCACAGCCACTCTCCCTTTCCACCTAGAGTGACATGGGTAATACAAACATCTTTTGATGCTCAGCTCCTGCAGGGGCAAGTAGCCACATGCACAGCACAAACATTGTTTGTTTTATCTGATTAGGCCTCTTTAGGAGCTCTAAATCTTATTCAAATGATGGCCTACAATAAACAAAGCAAGACATGAGACTCACTGTGAACCTTGAAAGAAATTAAAAAGTCTGCCTTAAGTACAGATATATGAACGCAATATGCATTAATATATCCCAATATAAGTTTATATGCACTATAGTAGTGCGTATACACTATAGTAATAAAGTCAAATTTAAACATCAATAACACAGGCTCCACTACACTACAAACTCAAACCAACTTGCTGTCACTTCCATGACATTACCTGTAGCATATAACTGGCCAAATATTTGTGCTGACTCATGTGATAGGTTATTCACAGTCTCAGTGACCCATTAACATCCTACAGGTTCCCATTGTTCACTCTAAATGGACACATTAGCATTGCTCTTGTTATTTAAATCCTACATTTTGTAACAAAGAGTCTGGTTTTTCTCTCTAACGAGGACTTCCTCAGACAACTGACAGAGACCTCTATTTTCTCTGCTCCCTCTGGAAAACTATCAGGTTTTAAATATTTTACCACAGTTAGCATCAAATTTATCATTTCATGTATTCCACTTCTAATTTCAAGGGCACATTCTGAAGTTGTCACTGGTTTGGTGCAGGTCACTGGTGTGTTTTCGCACCTTTCCTACTACAGTCATTCTGATTGTATGAACAGTATCACTATATGCTGATGCATCATCCTAACTTCCTATTATGACCTTTTTACAACAACTTTCAGAGTAGCAGGACCTAAGGTCTATCTGATAGAGATATGTTCCACTACATGGAACCAGTCTGAAAAGAAGCAGCAGTTTTCCATACAACAGATTTTACTAAAGCACTCCTCTAAAATCAAGTCTGACATTATCTCCACTTGTACATAGTTATTAATTCACTATTAAAGCAGACTTTTTTGGTGAATGCCAATTGGATTCATTTTTGTCTGTGTGCTAACAGATCATTAAAGCCAAATGTGTGAAAAAGGCAGGGTTGTCAATTTAAAATCTTTATTACCAAAAATACAAAATTCAATTAATGTCACAGCTTCCATCCTGCAGTTGCAATGAAGGATATGTTGATTATGTGCATTTTCATGCTTTCATTGCCTTTTATTTGTAACTATGTAGTGTGAAAATTAAATGACTGAAGCATAAAACCTTATCACTTTAGAACAGTCCTTGACATTTGGTGATCATTTGCCAGAATAGTAAAATCCCCAGATTAGTGTCACCACAAAAGTTGTTTTGTTCTGGGGTTTGTTCCTGAACCCGTAATCACAGGCCCTCACAGAAAGTGATGCTGCACCTTCAGAGGCAATAGGAGGAAGTTGGCGAAAGTAAACAGCAAGTGGCAGATAATTGTGTCATCTCTGATCTCCCACTGAGACTTTCAGACAGCAGTGAAAGCCCCTGCAGCCGTAACGACCGTGTCACCTAACCTTTCGCTGACCTTATGCAGCCTTATAAGCCGCTCCAGAACAGCACAGGCAATACAACAACTGAAAGGGTTGAATCACTGTGTGATTTCCCCTTTTAATGCATCAATTTTCATGCCTTTACAAAAAAACTGAATCAACAAATAAACAAGCAGCAGTGATTAGGGTCATCATTAGTGAAATGCTTATAATGTATTTAAGCATTAACAATTTATAATTTGAGCATATTTCAGCCCTATTTTTCTCCTTATCTGCTGCAATTTATTCGACAATTGGTGTATGATGTTGCTGAAAGTAGTGTTAGGTCTTTTTAGTCAGATAGACATTGGTTAGACACTTTATGTATTAGAAATGTTTAGTGCAGACAGGATGTCTAGCTCAGGCTGTTAAATGCTTAGGCATTCCCATAAGGGTACTCTAGGTTGTTCAGGTTCAAGGATAACTAGACAGAAAGTTGATTACTGTTAGGAGACAGAATGTTTATTATTATTGTTATGATGTGTTTAACCATAATCGTAGTCATAATATTTTCTTATGCTTAATGTCCTGTCAGAATATCTTA